CCCCAAAACCCCAAAACCCCAAAACCCCTAAATGCTAGAATCAAATTAGAATTGCTAATAATAAGAATAAATAAATTAGAATAAAGAATCAAACATCACTCATCATTTCAATCTATGATTCTTTTTTGTAGATTTAAATTGAAATTGGTTAAAACACATTCTCCTAAAAGATTACATTTTTGTTTTTTATTTCAGCTTCTTTTTGGAAATTAATCTTTGAAATCCATTCACTATCAATCTTTATATATCTCCTGTTTAAAGTTCCCATTTCTGATGCGGTAACTGTAAGATTTCTCTAACCATCAATGTCAAATTTTATTTCAATCCTTGGTACTCCTTTAAATGATGGCTAGATATTAATCAATTTAAATTCTCCGAGGAATAGGTCAAATTTTGTATCCTCACTCTAGCCTTCATATACTCTAATTGGAAACTCAGATTGATAATCTTTAGATGTTGTAAAAATCACACTCTTGGTAGTTGGGAATGCCGTATTTCTGTTGATTATATATTGCATCTTTCCATTATCAACTTCTATCCCCAATCCATATGATGTTGCATCAATCTGAAGCAGATTTTAAAATTAGGGACCCATTTTTCCCATTACTATTCCAGCTTCAAGAGCAGCTCCATAAGCTGACAAATCGTGATGATTATGAGGTCGAACAAGATTCTTGTTTTTAAACAAATCCTCAAGAATCTAATTCAATCTTGGAGTTCTAGTAAGTCCACCAACTATTACGATATCATGAATATCAATAGCATTAACTTTGGCATCTTTCATAGCACTAACTATAGGCTATATGCATCTTTAGAACAAGTCATAACATAGCTCCTCAAATTGTTTTCTAGAGAAATTTACCTTAAGATCATAAGCCGAATAAATTCTAGGAACCTTAATCATTACATCATAATCTGTTGTTAACTTTTTTCTTGCATTTTCACATTCTTATCTAAGTTTAAGGACAGCGTTTTTGTCCCCACTCAAATCCACTTTAGAATGAAGTTTGAATTCCTCTAAACAAAACTCTACTATTCTTTGTAAAAAGTCCTCGCCTCCAAGATGATTATCTCCACTCATTGCTTTTACTTCAAATATTTAATCTTGGATACTAATTATAGAAACATCTAATGATCCTCCTCCTGCTTTGTAGACTAGAACTATTTTCTCATTTGTGATATTCTATAGACTATAGAGGCCCAATGCAATGGCTTGAGATTCCTTAATTGTTCTTAGTACTTTAACAGAATCAAGAGAGCATCCTTTTATAGTTTAATATATTTAAGCTCGATTGAAGTAGGCAGGCACAGTAACAACTACCTCATTTACAGGCTGCTTGGTTAATGATTCCGCATTCTCAATAATCTTTTCAATTAAGAAAGAATATATCTCCTCAGGATAAAACTTAAAGATTCTTTTTTTCAACTCAACTACTATTAGTGGCTTGTCACCTGGGCCTTGCTCAATAATAAAAGGCAGATTTTTTATGTCCTCTTGCACTTACAAATCTGAGAATCTTTAACCGACTAGTCGCTTTATATTGAATATTGTGTTCTATGGATTATGTAAAATTTCATCCTTGCCTTTTTGACCAACTAAAACACCTGTTTCAGTGAATGATATGTAAGATGGAGTAGCTATCTCGTTTATCTCATTGGGTATCATCATAAATTTCTCACCATCGAACAAGCATGCTCTGCAATATGAGATACCTAGGTCAATTCCGATTGCATAATTTTGTTCCAAGAATTTTAAATTTGAGCCCTCAGGAATCATAGGATTGCTTTTAAATTTATTTAAAAATGATATTAATTCTTTTCTAATAACCAAATTAACTAAAAAATATGAGTTAAATGGGGTTTTGGGGTTTTGGGG